CACACACCATCTGCTCATCTGTCTGTCTGTCTGTCTGTGCCTAATTTTAGGGAAAATTTTAGACTTTCCACATTGTTGTTCTAATTCCATGGGAAAGTATTTGGGAGCTTTGAAAAACCCCTCACAGAGCTCAGGTTTTGGGAACAGTATGGCTGAATGTCTGAGACCCTCGCACAACAGCCAGTGCAGGCGTGGTAGTGTGGTGTGCTGTCCTGGACAGTCAGTAACAAGCCAGATGCAGCCCTGCTGTGGCTATAGCCCTGGAGTGTGGCTGCACCCCTATAGTGTGGCTGCACCCCTGGAGTGTGGCTGCACCCCTGGAGTGTGGCTCAGACCTAGCTGTTCCCACCCTTAGTGGCTTTGTCACTCACCTGGATGATATTTCCATTGGGATCCGGATCCCTTATATGCTAACTAATGTTTCTCCTCACTCTGTGGACCACGTGGCAGTAATGTGACCTTGAACTAAATGGCCGCCCCTCTCCTTCTGACTCTCAGACCAGTGTCTAAGCAACTCTCTGCACATCTTCAGTGAGCTCAAGGTGGGCACAGATGGGTGATAGAGATCTGTTGTCAAAGCCACCAGAGTCCTCAAGGACTAGGACATCCTTCCAGCACAGGTGCCCTGTCCCCAGAGAACTGTCACTCTGCCCTGTCACCTGTGGACACACCCTCCCTTCTAGGCAGTTTGGTTCCAGATCAGCCTTCACTAAGGGAGGCTGTTTCTTCACAGAGCACCCGGTGTGTTTCAGGCATGTGTGTCATGCATGTATGTTCATGTATGCCCATATGTGTATATATGTATGCACATGTAAGTGTGTTGCCTCACAGGTCACGGGTGTGTGGCATATGAATACAGCCTCTGTTTATGAGCATGACATTTGACCCGAATGCTGTGGAAAGTGGCACCAGGAGCAACTGTGCTAGGTGACACCCAGAAGGTTCCTACCCCAGATCATAGTCCAGATGATAGAGTAGAGTTGTAAGCTCCATTTTCACTGGCTCACATGACTTAAAAATCATTTGTGTGACCTTGGAGTGATGAGAAAGTTGTATATCTCAATGACAGCCGAGGGAACAAGAAACCAACACAATACACGCTACACACCTCACTGAGCATGTATGTCACACATACCCACTCTGTACATACTAAGCAACATCATGCATATACATCATGCATATAAGCACACATTACACACCACACATATACTATACACACACCTCACATGCCACACACACACCATACATACAGAGCTTATATCATACACACACAATATATATATATATATATATATATATATATATATATATATATCACACTATGCACACACATACACACCACACACTATATACACACATCACACACCACACACACTATATATACACATCACACACCACACACACACACTGTACACACACCACACATACACTATCTACACATCACAGATACACTATATACACACATTACACACCATCATACCACACACACACTATATACATCACATGCCACACATAAACAGTATCACACACAGCAACACACTACACACATATCACACACCACAATACAGTATCATACACACCACCCCCACCCCCCCCCACACACCCCACACCACACACACACACACACACACACACACACACACACACACTGTTTTCTCCACTCATCCTGTACACACATACATGTCCCACAAAGGGGACATGCCCACAAAGGCATGTAAATGAGCTACGGACCTATCCAGATGTGAAGCTGTGGTGCTATTGGCGTCAGTTTATGCTTAGAGGGAAATGGGTTGAACTGCTCATAGGACTTGTGAATCTATAGTTATATCCAAAGCATACGTGTAGACTCCCAAGAACTTGCAAAGGGAACTCTGCCTTGGACAGCTCTCCTCAGCAGCTGTCTGTTTTCCTGCATCCTCACCATACCCCCCCCCTACCCTGCTCAGCCCACCCCTACCCGTGGCCTCCCAGCAGCTTCACTGGAAATCTATCTGGGTCTCTCAGAAGCCAGTGTGTGGCCCTGAGAAAATGTGGTGCTGTGCTGAGTGGACAGCAGCCTTCCAGGGCCTGAGAACTCTGAGGTCTGGCCCTGCACCTTCTCAGCTTCTGCAGGGGGAGAAGGTGAGAGTGACACAAATGAGACCTAGCTGGCGTTCCATACCTGCAGCCCCAGGTTCCCTCAGAGAAAGGCCATACTTCTCCAAAGGCCAAATGATGCACCATCTCATTCCCTCTCCTTCTCTTTCAGGCCTGCCTGCACATCTCAGGCAAAGTGGAACTGGACGCGTCCGTGGCTCTGACTTTTGGCACTTGGACAACCTCGTGGCTCTTCAAGCCCCCAGTGCCCCAGCTGAGTGTTCAGAGGGGACAACAGTGGCGCAGGACAGCAGACCCAGGTTCACATCCTTCCCAGAGATGCCCCATGGGATGGGCACCAGCCTGCCTGCCTGCCTGCCTGCCAGTGACTTTTGTGTCCTCATCATTGGATTATCCTCCTGGGTTTTAGTTTGGGGGAATCTTTCTGGAAAGCTCTAGATTCAAGAGTGCATTTGTAAGGATATATTGGATTTGTATTTCCCTCTAAGTGCCTTTTTAAATGTATATTTTTAAATAAAACCGACATGCATTCTTGTAGAACCTGTTTAAACTGGACCAAGGCTCTTAGAACAAGAACCCAAGACCCCTCCCGCCCCAGACCTCCCATGGCTGTTCCGAGGAAGCCTGGAATTCTTGCTGGCACACTCCTGCTCTTTATTTCTTCATGGCCTGCTCAGCTAGCCATTCTTTTATATTCCCTGTTCAGTGTATATGTTGCTTATTTGTTTATTTATTGAGATATTTTACCAGCTAAGTGACTGCCACACGCTGTGTGTAATGCCCCACACCCAGGAACAATAAAGAGGCCCACACAGCCCTGCCGTTGCCCCTCTGTTTTCATCTCTATGTTGTCAGAAAGCCCAGTGGGTTGCAGAAATGAAATGTCTTGTCACTCTAAAGGGGACGAGAAAGGATGAGAGACATACATTTGATTCTCCACACATTGCTAGTTGTAGAAATCTGGGCCTAGGAACCAAAGTATGTTCATTTCACTTACTGTAACAAATGAATGAACAAACGAGCAAACAAACAAAAAGAGGAGAAATGACTTGAAAGACAAAACACCTTGGCTTACAACCCTAAGAAGTTTTAGTTTGTGCCTCCATTGCTTTTGTGTCTAAAGCTGTGGCCCACATGAGGGTGTGTCTGTAAGATGGTGAAAACGAAGGAGATGGTGAAGACCCAGGGCCTGGCTGTCGGGTGTGGACTCAGAGACCTCTGTATGATGTTCAGGTTTTGTTGGGGGTGGTTACACACAGAGCTTGGGTGAATTGCTGCAGGAAAAAGTACAGTCGGTTACAAAGGGTTTCAAATCCTGACACCATCTAGTATGTGCTAAGTCCAGACAGTGACCACAGAGCAAAGACACTGAAGGACCGCCACCCATGCAGCAAGACACAGAGGTGAGGCTGATGTAGTGACCCGAAAAGTCCCTGACAACTGCAGGGCAGACAGCAGAGAACAGAGGCCAGAGGAGTAAGGCCAGAAGGCAGCATGGTGCAAGGCAAGAAGCAGGCCACATGCCACAGGTGAGATGATCCCTGGGTTTGAGGAGCGCCACCTGCTATGAGAGTAGGGAGTAGAGGTCCTTAGGGGGAGGAGTGGGAATGAAGGGTTGTGCAACAGGCTGGCGGTGTGAAGCCTGTAGAGACCTGGGATGAGTGCAGGGACTTGGGGGCCTTGGGGGGTTTAGGGCATGGCAAGAGGCATCCATCTCGATGATCTCCATAAGGCTGGGCACAGGCTGCCCAGATTGGCTGCTGAGTGACTGGAAGGAATGTCTCATAGGAAATTTCATGGGGTTCGGCCCCTGCTCCCAAGGTGCCTTGAAATGAGAGCAGTACGGAGACGTCCACATCAGCTCCGTGGCCTGCCACCTATGGCAAATGGGCAATGGGCAACTGTGTAGGTGTGTGTGTGTGTGTGTGTGTGTGTGTGTGTGTGTACACATTTTTGTGTGTATGTGTGGGGGTGTACATGTTTATATATGTATGTGCATGTGTGTTTATACACATGTGTGTCTATGTGTGTCTGTGTGCATGTCCCTGCATGTGGAAGCCAGAGGTTTGGCAGTTGGTGTTTTCTATCACTCTGCACTCCATTTACTTATTTTTAATTACAATTATTACTGGTGTACCATGGCACATATGTGGAGGCCTGCAGGAGATGGTTCTTTCCTTCCATCAAGTGGTGTTAAGCTCAGGTCATCAGGCATGAAGACAATCGCCTTCCCCATGAGCCATCGCACTGACCCACTACTACTATTTTGAGGACCTCATCAATTCAGCTAAGCAGGCTTGCCACACAGATCTGCCGTCCCTGCCTCGCCAGGGCTGGGTGCTGGGCATAGGTTGCACCACCACAACCCGACTTTTGTATGAGTGCTGAGGACTCTTGTGTAGACCTTCATGCTGGCAATCGCTTTCCCTGACTGAGCAACCTGTCACCGTGATTCTTGAAGCTCTGGTGGAAGGGAGGCAAAGGAGTTGTAGGGAGCCTTGGGGCTCTTGCTGGAGATGGCTCCACTTCTTTGGCACGGGGTGGCAGAGCTGGTGTCAAGGTGCCCCCTTTGAATGGCTGTTGGGAGCAGCATGTGCAGCCACCAGTGACACCAAGAGAGCGTGACGCCCAGAGGACATCAATGCTAACCCCGCCATGGCAGAGCTGGTGTCAAGGTGCCCCCTTTGAATGGCTGTTGGGAGCAGCACGTGCAGCCACCAGTGATACCAAGAGAGCGTGACGCCCAGAGGACGTCAATGCTAACCCCGCCACTGCTGCTGGATGAAATTCCTCCTGAATCCATGGTCCTCCACTTCTCTGAGCTCTGAGGATTTCTGCTTATAACACAGAACATTTTAACAAATGCGTATTCGATGCTTCCACCAAGAACAGAAGTCAGAAGAGTGCTAAGCATGGCCAGGCAGACACAATACAAGGAAGAGCACAGAAAACTTTCTTGACATCTTGAGAGGCCACGGCCAAATGGGAACCTTGACAATGAAGAAAACAGAAAATGCATCAGGGTGGAATATTCTTAGAACACAGATGGTTGTGGCCCTCGGGTCATGCATACTCTCCAGGCTCTGGGAAGGCCTCCATGCCTCCCTCCAAAGAATGAGCAGAGAAGGAACCAGAACCAATATCTGTGAAGAAGGGATGGTGAAAACCAAAAATCAACCAACCCATGGGGCTGTTTCAAAGGAGAATGGATGAGGAGGAGCTGAGTTGGGATGAACCTCTGGATGTTTGCTGCCAGTGCTTGGGTCTACAAAGATCTCCAGAGGTGAGAAGAAATCCTGATAAGGCTAGCACCCACCACTGAGCTACATGGTCCCTTTGGACTCCGTGCAACCCAGATGGCCAGAAGGATGAATGGGAAGGACTCTAACTTCATACTGACCTGCTGAAAATAAGGCCAGGGACACCCTGCTGTGTGTGTTCTGCCTGTGGAGACAGGATGCTCTAGACAGGGCGTGGCCATGAGAGCAGCTTGTGCTGGTGCAAGTAGCTTACCCTTTCTTGTTCAAATGGATGGAAGATTCCCACCTTCCACCACGGTTGGGTGGAAGATTCACATGGCCCAGAGTGGTTTTGTTCCATGCTTCACCCTATAGACTTAACCACCACAGCCTTCCTTCTCTTCTTGGCCTTACAGCTTTAAAACGACTGCTCCCTCTGTTTTGTTCGGATTTTAAAATCGTTGTTAGGATGCCAAAATTAACAAATGTGACTCTTTATCATATTGGAACTGAGCCAGCAATTCACAGATTAAACAAAAGCAGACAAGGCTAAGGAGTTGGAAGGAATTGCGAATTTCTACCAGTTGGATGGTCCCACTGACCTCCAGACCCAATTCCTCCCACTGTCCACTTTGAGGAATTCCCAAGGTGAGGGAGGATTAGAAGACCTCTCTCTGTCCCCATGTCTTCCTCTTCTGTGTGCACAGTCTCCACACAGCCATCTCTGTTCCTCCCACTCTGCTGATTGGAGGGAGGGGAGCTCTGGATAGCCACTTAGCTGCCAAGAGCCCAGGCATGGGTGGCCTCTATCAAAAGGATGAGCTGGGCCAAGCAGGGTCCTCTAGGGGTTTGGGGAACAGAGGCTGCTCTTGTTGGCTGCAAGAACTGAAGCCAAAAGGATATGATTCCGGAGTCAGCAGCAGGGGTGGGGGAGGTGGTGGCATGTGAACCCTAAGCAAGCTGGGTAGCAGGGGTGGGGGAGGCGGTGGCACAGACTCCATGACGAAGCAGAGCGAGTAGGCTGTCAGAGGAGCAATTGGGGGGGGGCAGAGATGAGCTCACCACCCAGGGGCAAGTAGGGAGAGTCCACTGGACCTTGCTGGCCTCTACTTAATGGACCATTCTACAGTACATAGGATGGACTTAGCCCATGTTCTGCAGCTATAACAAAATACCTGTAACGAGGTCATTTATAAAGAAGAAAAGTTCATTTGGCTTGTGATTCTGGAGGCTGGGAAGTCCAAGTCTTGACATTGGTGCCTACTCAGCTTCTGGGGTGGGCAGGCAGAGGCGAGCATGGTGAGACAGCAAATGTGCTAGTTAGTTCTCTCTTCCTCTTTTCAGAAAGTCAGTAATGCTTCCACGCTTGCATGCCCTCAGCTACCCACAGACAGTATTAAGGTATGACTTTGGGGATTAAGTTTTTAACACAGGAACCTTCAAGCCACAACAATGGAGAACCGAAGTCATTCTCGTGAGCCACCTCTTGCTTCAGTGGCTACCAAGGAACAGGCTGAGTGTAAGTAACAGTGTCCTGACTGTCAGGGTCCCTCATTCTCCACCCAGGGCTTCCTAGCCATTTACACTCATCCATTTTGGATACATCCAGGAGTGCTGGTGAAGGGGTTCACACACCAGGAGCATTTGTGAAGGGGTTCACACACCAGGAGTGTTAGTGAAGGGATTCACACAGCAGGAGTGTTAGTGAAGGGGGTTCACACACCAGGAGCGTTAGTTAAGGGTGTTCACATACCTGGGGCAATTCTGATCAACCTGCTCCTCCAGGTCCCACAGTGGGACAATTCTGAGCCAGTCTCCATGGCTGCTGAGGATCCTTGGCACAGCTGAGCCCCCACCTCCTACAGTGAAATCCAGATCAGTGGGGTATCTCAGACCAGGTCTTCTGTCTTCTCTTTCTTTTTCCAACCAACCCCACTCAAATCTCATATTTCCTCGGTATTTTACAAAAATAAACTACACCGAACAAAATTCTCAGCTCTATCCTGAGGGAGAAGCAAAGCAAAGGATCCAAATCTTCTACTTTTAGGAACCTGGGGAACAAAGTCATCAAAACCAATTCCTGTTCAAAACAAAGCTGCAAGAAAATTTAAATCCTAAAATATAAGGGAAAGTGGGTCCTGATCAACAACAAAGTATGAAAACCATCAGTGCCTCAAGGACAGCAGACTGTGCAGATTTGAGCATGTAGAGAACAGAGACCTCCCAAGAGGGAGACTCTTCTTGAAGACTCTCTCCACATCTCTGAAACCTTCTTGTCCCCAAATGAGCCGCCACATTTCCTGCTTTACACCCAAAGCACTTTAGGGAAAACAGTCTTGGTGCTGAGCAGACCACAGAGGAAAATTCACCTGTGAGAAAATGTAAATACTAACAATGTGATTCATATTCTTACACTAAATTTACATTACTTAGATGACTGACACTAAACAGAAATGGAATTATAGAAAATATTCAAGCACGCTGTGGGAAGTACAAATGCAACAAACAATGCAGAAAGGGAAATGGCATACATACATCCTTACACAGAAATAATTACACTAAATGTAAATAGTCTAAAGATACTAATAGGAAGGAATTTCCATCTTGGATTTAAGATACCAAACAGCAGGACCCAACCATTCAGCAACTCTAAATGTGCTTATACCACACACCAGAGTTGCAGCATACAGCTGATGGGGCTGGCAAGCTAGCTCAGTAGGCAAAGGTACTTGCCTCACAAGCCTGGCCATCTGAGTTCAACCCCTAGGATGCCCATAATGATGAAAGAAATAGAACCAATTTCACCAGTTGTCCTCTGACCTCTACGCATATGCTTTGACATGAGCATCCCCTCCCCAACACATACGCGCACAATAGAAATAAATAAGTAAAATCATAGAAAAGAAACAAGTAGACCAAGGCAGTTATAGTTGAAGACTTGAGTCCCTCTCCCAATAATTCATACAGCAATCTAACAAAAGAACACCCACAAGCAGTGGAGTGGACAGTTTAAAGTGCTAATGAAACACAAATCAAAACAGATTGTATCTTGAACCATAAGATAAATTCAACAAATTCCAGAGAGTAAAAATCATAGAAAGTGTATTATCCAACCATAGCAAAGTCAAGCCAAGAACTAGTAATTCATCTCTCCCCCCTACACACACACACACACACACACACACACACACACACACACACACACACACACACAAATATACACAATATACACACACA